TTTCTCAAAGGCAATCTCAGAGAATACAGCTTCCCAGTGCACTGAGTACTGACATTTTCTTGCCTCATTTTCTGGTATGTTCTTCCCAGTCTGTGTGGAGTTGCAGTTTTTCTGTTTCAAGAGCACGCAGTTGTTGACCTAAGATTGTAACAAGCCTTACGCTGTAGTTTTCCTTTTCCAAACTGCTCCTGGCTGCTTTTCATAGGCTGGTGCACCCTAAGTGCTAAGGAAAATCCCTTCTCTTTTGCTCCTTGCAACTGTTGTGTCACAGTCTGCATAGTCAGAGTGAGGGTCATGGCTCTCAGCGCACCTCTCTGCTCCTGACAGCTTTTTAGCTGCTCCAAGCATTTAGCATTTTCTTTTGGTCAAGGAAGAATCTGGCCCTGCTTCCCAGGCAGCAGCATGGGTTGCCAGGTCCTGTCCTCCAACATCTTTGCTTAAAGATCACTGCTGCACCACAGGACACAACTTGTATCTCTGTTTTGGCCTTAGGCATGCAGGCTTCTTGAAGCATTAGACACACTAACTCCTCCACTGCTAGCAAGCACATCCAGACCTTTCTTCCCCCTTTTCCCCAAAAGGCGTGAAAACACCATACAGGTCACAGACTTGGACTGAATGTTGATTTCCAGCTTTTCAAGTAGAAAACAGGCAAGGGGCTCATCTGAAAACACATACAGAGAAGAAGGTCTTCAAATGTAAAGAGAGTCCATGGCATGTGAGTAATCAGCAAAAGAACTGCCCCACTCCTAGACCCCCCATCTCTAGCCCATGTCCAGCTGGAAATGAAAGGCAAAGAAAACTGTTCAGCTGTTTAGGCTGGCTACAACTGAATTACTTTTGCAGGTTTTAAGCCCAGAAGGGTTTTTAATGCTATGCTTCCCCACTGTGTGTATGGATGATGATACAATGGGCAAACAGGCAACCATGAATCACAACCACTTGCTCCCTACAGTCCCATTACAAGATACACATCCCTGAGCGAGAATTCATGGTAGGTGCCTTCTGTGCATGGGGCAGATAAGATGAAAGACCTCAGGGGAGATGCACATCTTTGTCTAGAATGACAGCATTACTTAATCACCCAGCTTGGTGGAATCTCTAAGAAAAAACATCACACATTGTCATGTGAAAAGCCAACTTCAGTATTAGCAGCACCGGCAGACTGCTCTCTGGAAATAGCGTTTCTCTGGAAATGGCAGTTTCAAAAAGATAAGAATTTGAGTAAAACCACCAACATGAAAAGGATGGCTAACTTAATCCTATTGTTGCCAGTTATGAATTATTCACTGGGCTCCAGCCCATGTGCATGAGGCACACTTTCTAATGCTTTCAGACCGCATTACAGATGGCTCCCTGCCATCTGTGCTAAGAACTCCCGTGTGTGCTTATTTTACAGTTGTCCCAATGGGGACAACCATGCTTTGACCAGTCTACACAAGGCTTCTTGATCTTGAATCCAAGAACTGCCCTCTGCTTGCACTATCAGAAATAGATGGTCTAACTGCATGGTGGACAGTAGACAGGGACAGAGTACTTAGACCTGAGGAGGGAGCTGCACCAGATATTTAGGAGGTGTGAGAAGATAACAGGGAGTAAGGTCCTCTTTCTGCCTCCTGCAGCTCTGAGGTGTCACAGTGGAGGTCAGTGCACTTTCCACCTTTCCTGGCTGGCTGCATTGTTCAACCATTCCAGATCCATGACAGTATCTAGTGAAAAATACCTGCAAAATCACAGAGAAAGAACAGAGGCTTGGGATCACTGAGGAAGAGCAGGTTGTGACAGGGGAATCAGTACTCAGTCTGCACACACTGTGTCCAACATAGATTGGTCCCATCCCAGGTACCATCACATCCCTGGGGAAGTGTGCTGGGGTCACCAGCTGAGATTAGATGATGTGCCTCATTTGTGCATAAATATTATTTCTCTCTTGCTGTACTTCCAAACTTCATTTCAAAAGTTCGGAGGAAAATTACATCAGACTGAGAATGCCAGACTGATTGCCAGTGCCAGTTCTTTTTATCGTTATTTCAAACTGGGGAGAGAAGAAAGGGGAACAAATTAGTTTGGAGAGGAACACATTTTCGTCAGGAAGCAATCCCTTCAAGAACCCAAATCAGACACAGTTTCTACTGCCAAAAGCTCCCATACGTAGAAGACATGGCACAGCCAACATCCTGCTGCTTGCACATTCTCTGCAGTCCTGAAATTAGCATGTTTTTTCTTGGTGGGGACAGACAAAGCCAAAACAGCAAAATAAATCCTGGCATTTCCCTCCAGTACTGGGTTAGTGACTACCAGCCAGTGGGCCTCAAACAGCTAGACCTAACCCATGGCATGAATTTTTTTCATTTTCCACAGCACGCAGTTCTTTTTCTCCTATTGCTGCAGTTGGCCTTGTAATGCTACCAGGCCTTTAGTGACTCTACTTAATTATACCAGTCTTCATAGAAATGTAATCACACAGGCAGAAAATCTGCGTGAGAGAAAGGATGGGTCCCCAGGGCAGCGTTTCTTGGTGCTGGTTTCCTGGGGAGATTAGGCTGCTGAGACCCTGCTAAAGCCCCATGTGCTTTGCTTGCTTTGATTTGAGAGAACAGCTGAAGGTGAGGCTCTTTCAGAGATATCTAGCATGTCTAGCTATGGCCAACCATAGACCACTCTGCCTGCACACCTCCATTACTAACCCCAAAGGACATTTTTCAGAGGAACCTAAATAAAACAGATAGCCACTTTCCATGCTTGCATACAATTTGTCCAGTCCTTGTCTATAGTCGCTTTGTTTCTGGCATGGACAAAGTGATTGTCATCCCAGGGAGTGCCCAGAGAGCAGAGGGTGAGGAACATTACCGAGAAACACATTTGATGCACGAATTGTACAGCTGAAGCAAACAGGCCCGGCTCTCTTTATTCAATGAACTGGGTGGGACCAGCTCCAGCAACAAAACCCCCTGCACAATCCCTCTGGATGATGAGTGGACTCCGCAAGCACCTCCTTTGAATTACTGATTCAAACACAAGAGCATACAGATACTACTTGAATGCTACACAGAGCATTAAACACTTGTGGCTCAATCCATTAGTACTACCCTTGCCTGTGTCTCCCCAGGCTGCATTGCAGCTCTGCCAGGGTAGCACAGAGACTGAACCAGAAGCTAAACTTACCCACTGTCTTTAACAGGAACTGTATTTTCATGTGAAACCAACAGGTCTACAATTTCGTGCAATGGATCTCCCTGTACAAAGTTGTGGGCAGTAACTGTGCAAGGGAGATGTTCTTGGCTTGAGTCACAAGAAGCTAGCTATGCAGATAAATCCAGCTGCAACTACCAGGAATTTGGCACATAACTCACAGAACAGAGCCATTTCCTCACAGACAGAAGTGATCAGCGACATATCATCTTCTCTCATTTCTCTCTACGTTTACAGAGGGTTATGTGGGTTTAATTCTACATATCAGGGAAAAAGTAATGCCAGCAATGAAATGCTAATACAAGCCCACTAACAGGAAAATACATTTTTTTCCAGCAGTAGTTACTGGCAGCAACCTTCCCAGTAGGAGGACAACAGTAAACAGCACTAGGACTAAGACACCCACTGATCTGCACTAAACAGGTGCCTCCAACAGGTGTCATACTGCCATCCACTGATGCTCCTCTGGAAGATTCCTTGCTACATCCATTAGCAGTGAGCAGTAACCCCAGCATGCCTTTATTTGCTCTCCTTGAACAATTTGTCCAACACCTTGACAATTCCGTCTAATTATCTGGGTAGGTATCTGATGAAGCCCAATACAATTACATTCTCACTGCTGGCAGCCAAGCCCACACATGTACACCTGGGCAGCAGGAATGAAATGCAGTCCTGCTCCAGCTAACTCGTTTCTGCTTCACAGTGAGGATCTGACAATCTCCATCTAGCTGTTACTCTGCATATCGCACCACATTTCCTGCTAAATCTTTGTAAGGAGAAGGCAAACACTGGCTCCTCTGATCAGGCAGCACAGTTTGCAAGGTCTCAAATTCCACTAATTCACGTTTTTCTGGATGGGGTCCACAGCAGACAAGTACCACTGGGGGCCTTAAACTAAGCGGCAGGAAGCAAGGTAGGTAGGCAGTAGGAAAAAACTTAAAACACAGAGCATACAGGGGACTAGAAAAGAATGGAAATGTATGTGTGTGGGTGGGTTCTCTGGGTCTTAAAGAAGTTGTGTGATGTGCCCTGTGTGTTGATGTGCACAGAAAGAGTAATCATGCTTTTCTCTCCCATCACACCTCCAAATGACAAGTGACAGTGTCAACTCCACACCTGCTGTGTTCAAAGCACAGAACTCTGAAGCGCCAAAGCAGCTTGCCCCAAACACAACAGTTGTTTTTTTCTCTCTAGGCTTCCAAAGGGTTGGCAGGCAAATCTGAGCTCCAGACAAAGGAACAAACCAATATACGAGATCTGTCTGCACAGTACAAAGCCAGTGACACAGTATGCAATGACATCTCAGTCCTACCTTGTTGGAGATGCACTGACACTGCACTGTATGTCATAACACAGGAGAGGAACTGATTTTCCTGAAGTCGCTCAAGACTATTTTCTTAGGGTAACTGTAAAGTTTGGATGTTTTAGACCACTCATATGTGGAATCAAAATGAACTCTCAGGGATTGCCCCTTCCCAACAGGAGAGGCAATTATATTCCCTCTGTTTTAGTGAGCAGATACACAGAACTGCAAAGAAGTGGTGGGAACTCCAAGTAGCTTATTTAATATAACAGAAAAAAGAAAAAGCCACAGATTCTAAGTGTGTCCTGCTGGAAGGAAATACGTTGAAGATTGCAGTAATTATAGCCTGCAAGACACAACCACCCCACCACCCAACATATTCAAAAGATCGACAGTCCAGCCCTACACGTGAGGGATTTCCACCCATTTCAAAGGGAGGCCTTCAATGGGTCTGACTGCTCAGGCTCCCACCCCAGACATTTTCCCAGGTTGAAGATCCACTTACCTGCCTGGTTTGTGGTTACATTTACAGACACAAACTGCCGGGCTCCAGGGTTCTGGTCGGACACTCCATTCACTGCCTCAATTTCAAAGGTATAGTTTGTATGAGCAAGCAGATCCACCATCATGACAGAGGTGTTTTTCAGGCCGGTTTGCTGGGGGAGGTACCTGACATGACTGCCACATGCCTCGCACAGACCTGAGTGTGAGTTGCACTTCTTGCATGCAATATAATAAGACACATCTTTCCTTCCACCAGTATCAGCAGGGGGAATCCATTCCAGAAAGACACTAGTCTCGTTAACATTTGAGATGGCACTCCGAGGAGCAGAGGGGGGTCCTGGTTTGCAAAGTGAGAAAAACACATGGTAAAAACAGTATTATCAGTCATCCTGCTCTCTACTACTCTTTGGTTGAAAAGAGATGCTGTGTTGCTCATGTGTCAAAAAGCACACAGACAATTTGCAGCAGCAGCTAAAGAAGACAGAAGATGGGGATTCAAGCCTTCCCACCTTACCTTAAGAGGTTTGTGTTGGGACACAGACATCTTTAAGTGAGGGCAAGACACAGATTTGGCTCAAAAGTAATAAGGGCAGCACATTTCATACTGGGATGTTGCATCTGGTATTCTCTTTGTTCCGCTTGCTAAGGGAGCTGCAAATCTTTGCTCTGTCCCAGCCAACACTGGCTTACCTGGGAGGCAAGACTCCCCCTTCTTGCCCCACTGCCCCTGTATTGCTAGCCTTGGATCCTTAAAAAAGATACATACCAGTGTATTCCCACTACTCTGCCAATTCAGACACTGAATTCTATTCATCCACCCACCTCTGCCAATTAGCTCTTAGGCAACAGTAAAACCTAAGTTTGGGCATCCAAATCATACCTTAGCAAGACAGTCTATGTACCCCAAAGCAGATGGTAATCCACACAGGCCACTGGAAACACAGCCGTATCTGGCTACTCAACAGCAGCCTTTGTGGACCCTGCCAAGCTCTCAGCACTAGCATGATTGGTTAGTCACACTGTGCTTGCTTATTTTGCCAAGCATCCACACTCGGTATGTCAGTATGGCACTGGCAATGCTATCTAAGGAGGAACAGCTGCTGTGGAACTATCAGAGCTCCTACAGATGTGGTCTGTTTTCCTTCATCCTGCTGGAAGAAGCTGTGGTTGGGCAAAGAAAGCTGCATTACATGCTCAGGTCATGATTACAAAAGCAGCTTCCAGTTCAGCAAGTGGCTGTGCTGCCCATCTGAAGACACCCACAAGACCACTTTTACACGCTGAAGGTGCTGGCATGCACCTTTCCAAAAGTCAGAGGCAACTGACAGTGTGCATTATCACCAGCTACTCCTGCAACCCCTGGCACTGCTCTGTAGATATCTCCCAGTGAGACGAGCAGGACAGCCCAGGCAGGTCTCTCAGCACAGAGCCACAGCCAACTTGAAATGCTCACACTTCACTCAATGGCTTTGAGTTTCAAAAATCTAACCATCTAGTGAGGAGAACCGATACAGTACCCAGAAGATACTTTGAGAAACTTTTCATTTTAATAGACTTGACTTGGAGATGAAGGGCAAGCTGACGATACGCCCTGAAGATGATGTGAAAGGACAGCAAGAATCTCATGCAAGAGACTCACATGGGGAAACTGATCAAAGAAAGATGGAATGGATTTTAGTGGCAGCATTACCAGAAGCTATAGAGCAAAGACTGAGATTTTTCCAAGAAGGCAACAGACTTCCACACAGTTTGAATGAAGTTGTCAAAACCCACGAGCAGCTCCTTGAAAAGAGCCTGTCAGCAAGCTTTACCAGCCAGAAACCCATACAAATTTAACAGCCTGTCTTAGCTTGTCGTCTTCTAGTTTTGTTGTGATGATTGAACTCAATTTGTTATTTAAAATGGGCAGTGTTGCAAAACTGAATCTACCTTCGGTTTTTCACTATTTTCCTTCCCTTCTCCCCTTTTTAAGTCTATAAATTGGTAATGCTTAAGAAACACTGCAATGATCTCAACTCGAGCTATTCTGATTCAACAAGAAACTCAGTGACAGAGGGAAATAAATATTCCTGATTTTTTTTTTTCTTCAGAGAAAAACAGTCAAAGACAAAAGCTAGGTTAGTTTAGGAAATGGCAGCTTTGTCAGAGGTACAGCAGCCATGTCAGCAACTCCCAAAGAAGCCAGGATGTTCCTCTGTAAGAGGACCACAACAGTAACAGCTTCACATTGGTATACATGGGGAATAAGCACCCCCTCCCTGGGCAGAAGGCAGCTGAGGGAGGTGATGCATAGTGGTAGCAGAGCAGGCTGTGCCCAGGCTCAGGATTCCTACAGGCCGCCTCTCACCAGCAGCACCACGGGGTGACAGTGCTGGTTAGCTAATGACACCACAGGACAGCAGCAGCCAGAACTATTTTCCGGCTTCTCATCCTCATACTGATATAATGGGGGCTGGAAATCCATCTCAAGAGCTGTGTGGGTTGTATCTACTGCACTCAAGGATTTTTTTACTGGTTAAATTGTCTGATTTCTCCTTCTGCTGGATGAATGCACTTTCACCGCTATCAGCATTCTAAGAAAAAAATAAAAGAACTCAGGCACAAAAAAAAAACCTACAAAAAACATTTACTGGACAACATGCCTTTAACAGGGGATAAATTATCACTTTTGTAAAGGCAGCAGAGGTTTGTACTCTCTTTGCACAGAAGAATCAGCTGCTCTTCTTGAAGGCTTAAAAACATGCTTTGAAGCTAGTGGGAATGGGTAACCTATAAAATCAGCATTCTCAGAGGGGTCTGAGAAAGGTCTTTAGCTGTCTGCACATACCTAACAGGACCTGCTTGAAGAGTCCTGAAACTGCACATGAGTAAAGCTTTGAAAAATCTCAGCTGGGAGAACAAACCAGTGTTTTAGCTTCAGAAAAGGTAGGCCCCAGATCTGCCAAGAAGCTCTGTTTTAATTTACAGCTTCCCTTCATCAAGATGAACACATTCATTTTCTGCCTTTTTTTTTTTTTTTTTTTTTTTTTTAATTTGTTACTTTGTGCCCTAAGCTGAGATTTACCATTTCTGCAGAATGATTCACTGACCAGAGGGAAGTCATTTCTAAAGATAAAGGTATCAATGTTTTCCTTCATGGACAGCTAACCTGTTGTTTGCTGATATGCGTATTTTTAAAAAATAAATTGAGAAAGAAATTGCCCCTAAGACACAAATACATGTTTTATACATATATATGTGTGTGTGTGTACACAGAGTTAACCGTTTCCTTTGAGAACAGAATGTTACACCAAAAGCTACAAAAATGTCAGTGCATCCCATAAATCACACTCTTTCTTCCATGTTTTTTGTGCCATTCACCTTCACTCATACTTTCTCTGTATACTTTGAACCACAACAGGATTAATCATCAAAGATGGGAGAGGGGAAAATGAGTGCAAAATAGTATGTTTTCATTCAAAATTGACATTTCACAAGAACTGAAGTTAGGACTAGTTATCAAGAAATCAAGCTCAAAAACTTCCTGGGAGATGCATATAACAATACCAAGAATTCTCAAATGCCTGTCAGAACCGAATATTTTTTGTTTGATGGTAATAGCTCTTTTGGACTGCATCACAGCACTATAAATTTAAAAACTGCCAAGCATTACTTATAAAACATGCTTAAGGAACTGAGAAAATTAAATAAAAATGTATTTGTGTTGTGTCCCCTGCCTCATGCTTGTCTGAACAGTTGATAGTGGTTTAGCAGTTTTCTTTAGCAATGGTGGTGGTGGTGGGGAGACTCATGGCAGCTTGAGAGCAAAAGGCACTATCTCTAAATTAGGAAAATGTGATTTTATAGCTATACCAACTGGCACGGGGACCTTAGAGGTGCAGAGCTGAAAACAAACATTGATGTATTCTCTAAAATTAACTAGATTTCAAGTTTGAGGAAATTCTATGAATATTATTAACTTCTGCTGTAATAAATAATAGAAACATTCACAAAACTTAACAGTGTTTTCCTATCCGTCATGACCCAAGTCTGTCTTGCTTGTGTTTCAGTTCATGACAAGATGTTCCCCTGCAAATCTTACAGGATTGGGTTCAAAATGTTAGGGTTGTCACATACTCTTTACTATCCCTGCCAAAATTTACTTTGCCTGCAACTGAGTGGGGTAATGCACAGGCTCTCCTTACCACCTCTAACACAGACACAGCTGGATTAGCACAAAATCCCAAGAAAGGATGCATAGGAGAAGGGAGGATGACTTAGCACACTGAAGCGCACAAAGAGGGCTCAGATGATGCACTCAGCTTTTGGGAGTAGTAAGTATAAATCTCACCAGAGATGCTTCAACACCCTGTACTACTGTACGAGTTTGCCCTGTATGTGGCATAGCAGCATCCTCCGAAACAGCAGGCTAGAGAAGTAAGCAGTGCCTGAGTTGGCATTAAAACTCTCATTTACGTCAGAAGCACTCGGTACCCTGCCAAACCACATCCAAATACAGCTTCACACACCACTGGTGTGTGCACTGCCTGGACTTTAAACAAGCTTATAGTAAGCTTTCAAAACAACCCCCAAACAGCAACAAACAAACAAAAAAATCCCAAACTGACTAATCATCATCATCAACAACAAAAAACAAACCACCACCACCACCAAAATAAAACCCAAGTAAAAAAAGTATATAAAAGGAATACCAATCCACTATTCATGGCATCATAAATTACGGTCTTTACCTACAGGATTCAGACTGTGCCAGAAACCCCATGCTCAGGTCATGGGCTTGCATAAACCTCTTCTTCAGAGCTGGTTGCTTCTTCTGTGTGCTAACTCACCAGCAGGACTGTCTGGCATTACTCTGCCTTGGCTTTGGTTTAGTCTGCTCGAAAGAAGCTGATTTTGTGTGCCTTTTCAGAGTTCTCTTCCCATTTCCCAATACCACCAACACTGGTCCTTTCTCTCATTTATCAAAGTTTTTAAAGACATGTCCAGGGCAAAATAGACATCAGGGAGTACTGTTGTCATAGCTTCCCATGCCGTAGCCCATCCTAGCCACCACTTTGATGCCACAGTATTGTCACTGTCACAGTGCCTGAGGCTGTCTTATTCTTCCCTGTAGCAGAACTTCAGCAGCCATGTGCTTCACATTCCTTAACATAAAAGGTAAATACTGAGATCAAGAGCCTTGTTTCTCCTGTGTTTCCTGTGCCAAGCGACTATTCCAGGTGGGAAGAGATCTGCTGAGAGCAGGCAGTCCTCCTATGTGAAGAGACTCTCCAACTGGAACAGCCTTTTTCCTTCTCTTTTTTGAAGTGCCAACTTGAGAAGCTAGAAAAGACAGCTTTATTCACCAGGACGAAGGCACAGTAAGTGCCACATCCAACCTCAGTTTTCATGCCTGTCCCTGCAGTCCTTTGCTCTCTGCTCTTTTCCACTCTGCTTACAAATCTCTCCTCCTCATCCCTGCACTGAGAACAGCCAGGAGAAGAGCCCCGTGACATGATGCACATTAATATGCCACTGACACAACCTTAAAGGGATCTACCATCTATTCAACTGTGAACTTCCCATTCCTGGAAAGGATTATGCAAAGGAAACAGGATGGAAGTCATCTCTACATCACTCCCAGGTGGCGCTGAGCAAGTACGTGGACTGAACTTACACACCTGCTTTTTCTCCATTGCTGACGTCCCCTGGAAGTTCTGCCTGATCCTACCCCAGTAGTTCAGCTCCTCTTCAGTCCCTTTTAATCACTTTTGCCTGCAAAACTACATTTGGACCCTGACAGATCTGGCCCCAAAAAACCCATGGCCTGTGCTTCACACACGGATACTAGTTGGAGGTGTGGAAACTGAGGCCCTATGTACTTGAAATATAAAACAAACAGAACAACCAGCCTTCAAGCTACAGATGAAAGAATAACAGGACAAGGGTAAAACTAGTGATTCTGATTTCACAATTCAACTCTTAAAACCCTAACTTGCTTGTTATACCACCCTCCCCACACCAAGTGATAAGCTCTACATTTTTTATACCAGTTTGGAGATGCATTTTCTACTTGCAAGTTTTAAGACTACCTTGAAGAATAACAATCTCCAGGTGGCTTGGAAAGGCAAGGTTCGCTCCCTCACTATCTACTGAAAATGAGTTGAGAGACAATGCTAAGCAGGACCATATATACTCTACTTATATCTAGAGCAGACAATCACTATCCATAGTTTCCTCCACGTATGTGCCTGACCCAGGTACCCATGCACACACTTGAGTGCAGCGCTGCTGGCAGAGAACATCTCTGGATGCTTGAAGAGCAAACTACAAGAGATGGAGGATCTATTTGTTACTGAAATGCTCCTCAAGCTTAACAGCACCTTTCCAAAGGTGCTTTCCAAAGGGCTGAGTCTCCTCATGTAATTGGGGGTATGGTGGACAAAGCTAGTGACATTAAGACTGTGTCAGACTAGCTCAGACTGAAGCCCAGAGCCTGTAAAAGCACATTAGGATCATAATGTCTAGTCACAGTACAGGAACAGCTCAAAAGGATTAAAAACAACCCTATAAGCACATGCTTACTTGTACAGGCCATTGTAGGTGGGTCTGATTCCCTCCTAAAATAGTGCTCTTCACACAGGCAAGATGTGGATGCTTCATCAAGCGTGTAGCTGTGAGGGGGACATTTGCTGCAGGATGGACTGTGGGGTGAAGCTTTGAAGAACCCAGGTCTGCATACTGTAAAAAGAAGAACCACAGACTAAGCTCTCCCATCATAAAATTAGTGTCTTCACATTTCCTTTTAAAAACATGTCTTCAGCTACAAAGAAAACAGACAAACACTCGCAAGCTATTTGGTTTGTATATTTCAAAACAAGTCTACTCCACCAGTGTACAATGAACACTTAAATATCTGCATGAAAAGAAAATGAGAATCTGTTGACTATATTTCCCCCCTAGCATCTGCCTTTGCTGAGTATTTATTTTCTGTGTTGAATGCATGAGGTAACATCTTTTCTCTCTGCTTTAGGAAACATTATTGAGTTTGGGATTTTTTTTCATTCAGTTTTAGAAAAGCACGTAAAATACATCTTGTGGTTTTTGTTTAAGATGTTCTATACCCAGAAATCAATATCTCAGCACATAATAACAATACAGTGGTGGAGGGGATCTTGAGATCGAAAGCTTTAAGACATTGTGATAAGGCTACTTCCCTAGGGCTTCTTACTCTGAAAACCTATGATGAATTTTAAAGTACTCTATATAAGACAGATTGCTCTGGGTATAGCCTGAATCAAGCATGCTTGCCATGCAGGGTGCTCCTTCTGGCTCCAATATATATGCACGATAAAGCACAAAGTCTCCATATAAGAAATTTTTGTGTTCTCACAAATGTAATATATTGGCTAAGGATAGCTTGGGTTTTTTTATTCTCTTTCTTTTATCAGAATTTGAACTCAGTACAGTAATACTTTGTTTCCAAGCTCATGGAACAAGTGCTGTTTCACCTAAACAATGATCTCTGCATTCATTCACCTCTGTGTGCATGCAGCACAAGCAGTGACAATCCTAGGTTTCTGTGTTTCCACCTTGTCTTTAGAAACAAGCCAAGTGGACCTGTAATCACATAGTTGGTATACAGAATTACAAGGCCACAGTTACCACAAAGAAAAACAAAGCACAGATAAAACCTGTGGAAAACCTGACTTGTTGGTCACCTCAAAAAGCAAAGATATATAAACATGTTGCCTGACTCCAAAAAGCTGCCACATTTTTCCCTTCAAAGATGCTCTTATGTCCAGTTTGGTATCAATGATGGACAGGCCTTGACATTAAGATTTACAGGAGTTACCTGGAAATCCCAGAACCTTTCCATCTGCATTCAAACAACCCCAGTTGAATAGCAAATGAGCTGACAGCAGAAGCATTTATACTATCCCACCATCAATGTCCCAGACAAAAACAGCACAAAGGCCATGTGCTAAAATTCAACCGGAAGATGTGATACTGAGTTCAACTTTCCTGCAGATAAAGTGTAAATTTTTATTATTAATCCCTTTTCCTCTGAAGGACCAAGTAGGACAACTGGCTCTAAAGTTGACTCTGCTCCCTGTAGTGAGAAACTCTCTTGACATCTTCCCCTTTCATCACAAACTTTTTCACCAAAGGTGAGACACTTGCACATCAACTCCTATCAAAAACACACGGTGTTTTATTTGGTATGGCAGCTATTCTGGTATCAGCTCTCTACAATGCAGGGAGAAAATCCCTTGGAATCACCAGCAAGTCTTTGCTGATGGAGATCAGCAAAAGGGATAGCAATCCAGGAGCAAACCATACACCTCCCCAAGTTCCACCTTGAGTTTTGCCTGGGCCATGCAAGCAATTTCCAAAATTGCTCAGCATTCAATTATTTTTTCATATTTAGGCTGTGAGTTCTGGAGCACACAGTCCTTATCTTGTAGCCATGCATGGGGCACAGTGAACACACCTACAGCCAAACTTATTCTAGATAATTGCTAACACACTTACCGCAAGCTGCCCTGATGTCTTATGGCACATTCCTTAGTTTCTAACACAGTTTCTTTACTTTATTTACTTCACAGCTATCTTCAGGTGCTACCCTATCTGTACAGCAGGAATAGTTACAAATGCTCTGGAGAGTCTTCAGGTAGAAGAGACCATGACATGACTCCAGCCTTTGATCTGTATTTCAAAGACAGATCAAAACTCACTTGTATATGCAGACAAAAGAGATGGGAGAATGAAAACACAAACACATGTGAAGTATAAAGAGTGCAACCCACGTCTAGTATGTACTCGAAGTAATTAGCCTTCAGAAAAGGACTCGAATTTATCTCATTATGACCCATCAAGACAGACAGAAAATCATTAAATCATTATGGCACAAGAGTTTACTGTGCTTCTATTGTGTGCAAAGCAGCAAATGCAACATAAATCAGTTTTCCTCAACATATTTTCAACGAGGTGCAGTTTGTTAATGGTATGATACATAGCTCAGCTTGAAGGGAATGTTTTGTTTTCATGAGTAAGTGCACTGCCAACAGATTCACAACACCAGTAACCTTTTTTTTTTTTTTTAATGAGGGATGTGAAATGAAACTAAACTAGATCAGTTTTTGTGTAATCTGAAGCTCCCCTGGGTCAGACAGGTCCCTCCTCTGCCCAAATAGTATAAGAAGGCATATTCGAGGGCATTACATTATACTGAAAGTTGCAACATCAATCCTCACAACAAACATCCAGCACAGTGGGCTGTCAAATCTAAGTGAAAGACCTTCATATCAGTTCAAAAGAAAGAATTCAGGAAAAGGAGATGAGCTATGCTATTAAAGAAAAGAAAAATAGCTATTAAAGAAAGAAAGAAAAAAAAAAAAAGCAGAAGGGCAATAAATAAAATACACGTCAGAACTACCACAGCAAATCAGATGAAAGGTGTGCAGAGTCAAAAGCCCAGCAGCAGATGCTTTGGGGAGGACAGAGGGGCGTTTGCTCAGCTACCCCAGCCCAGTTTCCCAGCCATAGGTGAACAGGAGCTTGGGAGAGCAACTAGTACCTATTGCTCGATTTTTCTCTGCACTCTTACCTGGTTTGATTTGGACGTGAGAGCTGTCTCCGGTACATCTTACCCTCCACCTGCAGAGCAGGTATAATGGTAGCATCATGAGCACAGTCCTGGACAAGCTCAACAGCCAAAAAGCAAGGGCTAGTATATTATTTTTCTGCCTTTGCTGGCAAAGAGTTGGGTATTTGTGTTAGCTGAAGGGGAGTTGGACTAGGTAGTCTTCAGAGGTTCCTTCCAACTCTAAGGATTCTATGATTCTATGATTTTGTGATCTGGATTTGCAGCAAAACAGAGCCATAAGCAGTCTGTGCCTTGTAAGCATATACCTTGGGTTTTGGTCTGTTGTCTTACTGTTCCTCTTCTGAAAGCCAACCTTAAAATCTTCTCATGAAGTATACATGATTTTATTTAAAATTACATGGTCTGGAGTCTGGAGTTTAATGTCTAATTAAATCTTATTTTGGTCTTATATTTTTATCTCGGTATTTCTAATTCAGTGGTTTTTCAAAGGATATGTAGAATTAGCACAGTACAGCCGTTCATTTAATGGTATTATCTGTCTTTTAAAGAGGGTGGGAAAAGGAGGAGAAATAAGATGAGCCTAAGATTCCTCATAATCTGCTGCAAGCCAGCTGAATAGAAATGGTTTTAAGCTGTCAATGACACCTACTTCTTTCCTTCTAATATTAAAACTGATAACTCCTTAACTGATTAACAGCCACTGATGTGTGAAAACAGTCTTTAAACAAAATTAGCTGCTGAAAAAAAGAGAATATTTTTAGATGCACAAAATATGCCATAAGCAACCTGCTGGTGTTAGGGGGGATGTGTTTCTGTTAGCAGCACATCCATTACCCGCAAATTAGTTACACTTTTTCATTTTCAGTAGCAACCACAAAAAGTCACAGGCACAGAGCTTTAGCAGCCATGCAGTCTCTTGATGCCAGTGCTTTGGGCCAGGCTGGCACAAGATCACTGTGATGAGTGATGGCAGCCAGAGTTTCTTGGGACAACACCAGCACGAGCTGATCCCTCCAGTTGGCAGTCAGATTAGAACCTGGCTTCATATCTTATAGATGGGATCCCCCCAAGAGCCATGCTACTAGACATTAGGTCTTATAATGTATGTAAACAAAGGAGGAATCATTGGGACTCGTACAATATAAACTGGACTCTTCAAATGCCATGCTGAACTTTCATGTGCTCTATCAGTACAAGAGACAGAGAGCACCAGAACAAACCAAAAAAATCAAACATCTGGGACTATTTGACAGAGGTTATTTTCTGCAAGCCTCACCATCAAACGATTTGCAGCCGCAGCTCATTCCTGAACTTCAGTTGAATGCTGCATCCACGGCACAGATCTCCCTTCCTCTCTGGCTACGATGTACACTGGCCCAGGCAGCACCCAGCAAGCTGCTCAGGCACATGTGCTGGGAACAAGGACCTCCTCTCAGCCTACCCACCCGATCAAGAACCAAACCCATGTACACGGCCACAGCAGTAAAAGCATCCATCATCTGTAACACAGGAAGCCCTCAGCTATCATGACATCAAATTAATATTGGACTGAGTCTAGGCCTTGTCCCTGTGGAGAGAAGAGCCAGGAAGCATGACCTTATAAAGCCTCGAAAGCCCAGGGGAGATGAGAAAGGTCCAACCCTTCGAACTCTTGTAATTCTGGGAGGATAAGCCTGGAGTACTTAAATGCTTAGTATCAGCAAAGCAACCTTTTGTATATCCCAGAAAACAAAGCTCAAATAGGAGTGATACCATCTTCCTTGCAGAGAATTAAATTAGTCTCCACAGTAATCAGAAACTATAAATATCACTCCCAAGGTAGTGTTGCTAATCCATAAAGCTAAAGAATGAAATCTAACAAAAATTAACGGGGATAAGAACATCTAGTCTAGTCAGAACACAGGTTATCCAACTGAAACCTGTTTCCCTCCCGGAGTATATCTTGCCCAGGAGCAAACCACAAACTCATTTTGTTTCTCCTTCCCATGCTTTAGACTGATTAGCCTTTTCAAACTGCAAACTTCTTCAGGCAGGGACTGTCAAATTACCACAGCTTTTAGGAGCAACCACAGCATAAACACAAAAAAATTCTGCCCCATGGATATACCTGAGTTCTGTAATCCACACCAAG